ATCTTTATTTGCAGGAAAATTTCAAACTGAATTCGAAATTGTTACACAGAAATTTACGACAATCACTGAAATGGCTACGACAAAAAACGACATGGTTAGCCTTTAGAAAGCTTGTGATTCTCTAAGTTTTCATGCTACTTACCATTTTATCGTGGTTTGACCGTTTGTCTACGTTGTCCCATTATATTGCTTAATAAACGTACATGCAATCTTTCAATTGCAAGTATATTTTGATTTTTTTATACAACTTCGTAAACTCAATGGTTACGGCCTTTGGCTGAGTTGGTAAGATGAGCAGCCTTACACAAAGGCCGTGGGTTCAAATCCCGCTTCGGTCAATGTTGGAGGGTCCCAGTGTCATCCGCCTTTTCAAGGTGGGCCCGGCTGAGGCAAAATGGTTGACATCTCTCTCCCCCACAGAAAAAAAAAGCCAAAGATTGAATTATGGGAGCTGGGCTGGGGCTAAGAAAAAACCGTCGAATTGATGTTTATAAACAAATATGACAAGTGGTGGGGAAACGGTAGCAAACTATTTTTTGATAATATCATTTAGTTTTGGCGCGGATAAATGATCAAATTTTTCAGAAAAAACTAACCAAAACTGCTGGTAAGTGATATTTTTCGTTTTCATCTCCAAATTGAGTTATCTGATATACCGGGAGAAATACAAACACTTCCATCTGTTTACCACACAAATTCAAACACGAGAATCTCAGCTCAGTTACTTCATGAGAAATTCGGCTTAAATTTGAGGAAAAGAAAAAGTTTCAAGCTATTTCCCTGAAAGACCTTGAACTTATAATTTGAGAAACTTCTCTGAAAAAGACCCTGTTAATTTGCATACCTTTTGCAAGCATATTCCATTTGCTATTCACGAAAATTTAGCTGAAAATTTAGCTTTTACAGCTTACTAAAATGATTCTCCCTGTGCTCTCTTTAAATTTTTCGTTTTCATCTCCAAATTGAGTAATCTGATATACCGGGAGAAATACAAACACTTCCATCTGTTTACCACACAAATTCAAACACGAGAATCTCAGCTCAGTTACTTCATGAGAAATTCGGCTTAAATTTGAGGAAAAGAAAAAGTTTCAAGCTATTTCCCTGAAAGACCTTGAACTTATAATTTGAGAAACTTCTCTGAAAAAGACCCTGTTAATTTGCATACCTTTTGCAAGCATATTCCATTTGCTATTCACGAAAATTTAGCTGAAAATTTAGCTTTTACAGCTTACTAAAATGATTCTCCCTGTGCTCTCTTTAAATTTTTCGTTTTCATCTCCAAATTGAGTAATCTGATATACCGGGAGAAATATAAACACTTCCATCTGTTTACCACACAAATTCAAACACGAGAATCTCAGCTCAGTTACTTCATGAGAAATTCGGCTTAAAATTGAGGAAAAAGTTTAAAGCTATTTCCCTGAAAGACCTTGAACTTATAATTTGAGAAACTTCTCTGAAAAAGACCCTGTTAATTTGTATCCCTTTTGCAAGCATATTCCATTTGCTATTCACGAAAATAGCCAATATAGCTTTTAACAAATTTATTGGACGTCTTAAATTTTTGAAATTATTTTGATCTTGAGACAGTGAAATGGCGTTAAAACTGCAACCGAATTTTCAAAACTGATTGCGCTTTTTCGTAAAAATTAATTTTTGTCTTAATTCAAGAGCCCAATTTAGAAAACTTTTTCATTAAATAACGATTTGCCATAAAATTTTTCAGAGCAAAAACATACCGATAAAAGGGCAAACGCGAACCTTCAATGAAGTATTTCGCGAACCTTCAATTAGTTAAATTTGAAGGTCAGAATTATTTCAGAAATTTAAAACGTTGTCCGATAAATTTGTTAAAGATATAGACATCTAGAACGGGCAACAACAGGTAACAGACGCACCGATTTAACATATTTTTCTGTTTTTAAAAATTGCTTAACAAAAAAAAGCTTATTAAAACAAGGATAGCCGGTTGCTGTGCAAGTAGCACAGAAAGTTCCAACAAAAAAAAACTTCTTTGATTCTAATTGTGTCGTTTTTTGTGATGTGATCTGACAAAAAGCCTTAAATGTAGGCCTATCCGATAGTTAGTATAATCAAGTATATTCGACCAGAGGTTTTTTATAGAAACTCGTAGGAAAACAAAAATAAATTTGAAAAGTCAAAAAAATATTTTTGGAAAAATTGCAGAAACTACTCGAAACGCTTAAAGATACTTCAGAAAACAAATTTGATGGAGTAAAATAAGGATTTCCATCTAAAATAAATGCTTATCCTCCAACTATAAGCCAGCTCGTTCGACTCAATTACTCGAATACGACTAAAAATCAAAAACTTCCAACCAACAAAATTTTGAATAATTGAATCCGCCTGAAAGGGGCTTTAAAATGACTCTCGACCCATTCTGATGATTTTCTGGTACCTAAATTTGCATGAGAAAAAAGCACCTAAAATTTGATCACGATAATTTATAAGTTTTCTTTTTCCAATTAGGGTCAGTTTTTGTGGAAGAAAATAGGAATATCAAGTTAGCGTATAAAGATTTAATTTTGCAAAAACCATATCATAAACAAAAACTAATTTTTTTTTTCGATTTTTTTTGGATGAAATTTGGTGAATATTTTAAATTTTTTCGGACTGTAAAAGCAGTGTGAATCAACAAACTGTTTTTTTTGTAGCTAAAAATTTAGCTTTTACAGCTTACTAAAATGATTCTCCCTGTACTCTTTAAATTTAGCTATAAATTAAATTTTAAAACAAGTTTTCCCTTTATTGTTCTCATTTCTAAATTTGAATATCCACTCAAAGAAAAAAAATGGGAAAATTGATGATCTTTTCTGTTTTAAAATGAAATAGTTTGTTTTCAAAAAAAGCGAATCATATTTTTTGAATTAGGTGACCAGAAAAAAAGTATTTCAAAAAAAAGATATCCACTCTTTGAATCGAAATTTGTTTAACAACTGCATTACGATTTACGTTTATCCATAGCACTATTAACAGGGATAGCCGTTTGCTGTGCAGGTAGCAAAGAATGTTCGGACCATTAGTTTTTTTTTCAAATTATGGTTCTTTTTTTTCAAGATCTGAACGAAAAAAAAACTAGAACGTAAAATAGGCAAATTTGAAAAAATTTATATTTTAAAAACTTTCCAATTTTTTTCAGATACTTTTTAAATTATTGAAGATTTTGATTCCTAAAATGGTGCTTAAAACTAACTTTACTTAAGTAAAAATATGCTTTTAAGGCTTAAATTAAGCATAAATACGCTAATGTACGCCTGCTCACTCGCTCGGACGAAAAATCAAAAACTTCAAACCAATTTTTGTCAACACTGGTGATTTTTTCGGAAAATTTTTAATGTCGTTCGCTCGAACCAGCCGATGATTATTTATGTTACCTGAATTTGCGTGGAAAACAAAACAAAAAACTTAAAATACCCGAATACTAAGTTCCTCCCCATTTTCAATGGTCGGAACGAAAACAGCATTGCAAAACTGTTCAAATTGCTGGTTCTTCAAAATATCCGTGCTGTGGAAACGTAACCCTCAAAAGCTGATAAATGATATTCCAAAACTTTGATTTTTGAAGCAGGAATACTCAAGTTTGCAAAAGTAAAGGCCCTGGCCGGACTCAAACCCGTGGCCCTTGTCTTCTTAACAAGAAAGTTACCTCTGCACCAAAGTTGCAGAAACAGTCAACGCTTAGTGGAAAGAATTGCTTATTATACCGACCAGGTCGGCAGAATCAAATTGCGTATCGGAAGAAAACCCTGATTTTATAAGGCTGAAATGTTTTGCAAGGCCAAAATGAAGTTTTATATCTGACGACGCGAAATTAGGAATATAGGAAATCTATGGAGTACACGCTATCTCCTGCTCCACTGCCAATTCATTGAAAGCATACACTGTTTACGCGAACGAAAAGTGATTACGATAATATAGAACTATATCTTGGTGAACAATAAACAATCAAATTGATAAAATTTACAAATGTAAAAATTTTAATCAAATGATTTACTGGAAAGGAATTCCAGTAATTGTGTGGCTGCATTTGCGTACATTTAAAAACCAAAGCAATCAGAATATTTCTGACAACAATAAACAATTTATCCACTTTAAGGAAATTAGAGATTGCAACTAAACAATCGAACACAAATCTAACTGCAGTTTTTATCAATTCTTACAACAGCTTCAGCTGCCACATCTACTGCAAATGGTTTCATCCGACCATAACTTGGGCGGCATCATCTGGCATTCCATGCTTGCTGATATAATGAATCTTCAAATTGTACTTCAAGTTGCATGTTTTATCGCACATCCTACATTTGAAAACTGTTGAATTGGGGATGTGTTTTATTTCGATATGCCGTTTTACGTGACCCTTGTTTTTAGAACTATACGGACACAAACTGCACTGGAAATTCTTTTCTCCAGTTGATAAATTCTGGGTCGCGTTGATCAGCGCATCTGGGCTTGCTTTTGAAGTTGTCACAATATCTACTAGCAATAGTACTGGACTCAGTCATTTGCGTTGGCTTGTATATTGCTTTGGGTTGACTAGTTTGCCTTTTCCCCGCAGGTGCCAGACGCTTTTTAGGAGATTTCTTTTGTCCAGATAACTGAGTTGAAATTGGTTTCAAAACTTCGTCTTTTTGATGAAATTGCAAATTAATAAAGCCAATCATTTGTTCAGTGAGCGAATGGAGAACTTTCCCACTGATAGGAATTGAGTCTATTACTGTTGCTACATACTCTTCGAACAGAGAAAAATTGACCGAAATCATCACTGTACAGCTGTAGAACAAAATTCACAGCAATCTAAAATTCAAACGCCTTATTACATCACTGTAGTAAAAAAATGTATTGTTTTGGGCTAGGAGCAGCTGTCTGATATATCAATAAAAATACCTTCTATTAAGACCGAAAAGGTTTCTTTTAAAAAGTACACAACTGCTGTAAGCATACTATCTACAAAAAAATGATGCAAAATCATGTTTCAGTGACCATATCTGAGCAAGAAGCCAAAATCAACGAAATGAAAGACGAACTGGAACACCTAGAAGACAGATTGGAGGATAAAGAGCTAACCATTGAAGATCTGATGCAGGAGAACGCCAAACTACTAGAGGAAAAGGAAACCAGAGAAGAGGTAGGGAAAAGAGCCAAGATAAATACTGGCTTCAATTGATACTTTTTTGCATTTTTTTTAGCTTCAATCAGTTCAGATCAAGACAAAATATAAGTTATTGTACCATACTGAAAACAATGCGCAAAAAAGAGTTCCTTTGGCATTACATCAATAGCAATTGACAATTTATACGACGACTATTTTATTCCAAATCACATTTTTTTCTTTAAACTTTGGATTTCTTCCATTCATAATTGTTTAGGATCCACCAGTTGCGCTAGTTAGAACTCAGAATCCTCTTGAAAAAGAACTCGAACTCAAAGAACAACAGCTTGAAGACATTCGAGAAGATCTTGCCAATAATGAATCCATAATTCAGCGTCTCAAGGACGAACTAACACAAACCGCATCTGATCACGCACAGGAAAAGAGCGATCTTAATTACAAACTGCAGATGGCGAGTAAGGAAAGTGAGTCGAAGAATAAAGAGATAGTGAAGGTTTCCCAGCAAATGGAAGAAATTCTGTCAATCAATGAGTCGCTGCAGTCTGAAATGAGTTCACTTAGGACACAAGTTACGACCATAACAGTAAGTGATGGACCTTTTTGTTCTAACCACTGAAAGCGGGGAGAAACTTTGTAATAGGGTGTGTGGATCAATTGAGCAATCTCCCCCCGTAATGACCAATTGAGCTATCTCCTCCCCAAGCAAAAACGGTAAAACGCTACAAAAAGACGTCAGCAAACGCAAGTAGATTGTTAGTGTGTTCGTAGCGCGCTATCAATTGACTGACTGAAGTTTATTTTATATTAGTATCGAGAAAATTTTGTTTGGGCGACCATTGCCTCAACGAGCAAAGCGACTTACCAGGGTTGGTGCTCTAGCCTTGTATCTGAATATCAAAAACTGTTCTCCGAGATTTGATATTGTAAATTTTGGCGTTCCACTATCGTTGAAGAATCTGATTTATGATTTCATATCATTCAAATAATTTTGAAGTGGTTATAAACACGTCTCAAGTACCTATTGAGCTATCTCCCCCTTCCCCCCCCCCCCCCACGCGAAAATGGGGGGGGGGGAGATTGCTCAATTGATCCGGGTGTGCTGTAGTTTTTTCTACTTTTTCCTTTGCATGCAAAATGAAATGAGTGACATATCATATTAAAGCCTTTGCGGTCTTAATTCAAACCCTATCAAAAAATTTCCGCCGTGTAGAGAAAAACCGGTTTAAAATTTATGACTTTTGCTCCAATTTCGAGAGAATTACGCGAGCAAGCAGGCTTATAATATGCAAGACGTAAATTTTAGTTTTACTACAGGAATATTAGTTTTTTAAGCTTCTTTTAGCGCCATCTTGACAGCAAAAAATATCCTTAAAAAATTCAGCCAAAAATGAGAATTCTTTTATCGAAAATTTTTAGATAAAAACCAACTTCAAATACCAACAACTTGATAAAAACTCTTTCTAACGAACGCAATTTCTAGGCTTTCGTTCAGATCCGCTCGAAGCGAACTAACAAGAAACATCACAATTTGTGGTCGAAACTCTCTGAGCTACTTGCACAGCAACCGGCTATCCTTGCTCCGATTGTGCAACAGCTTTAAATGACCGATTTAATTGTTCAATTTAAATAACTTCAGAGCAATCAGAGCCAACGCTTGTTCCGAGTTTTCAAAACACTCTTTATCTTTGTATACACTATCATTTGGGTCTTCGATAGTGCTATATTTTATGATTAAATCAAAAAAGCAAGACAAATAAAAATCCTGGACATCAGAGCTGGACATAAAAATAACGTTTAAAAAGTATTCTGAATTTCAGCAATCAACTTCGTCGGCAGATAAAAAAGAAGCAGTGGAGACCAATCTGAAACTAGCACGAGAAGAAGTAGAGAGAAACAAAGAGTACATAGTGAACCTGGAGCAGCAGTTAGAAGAGGCCAAGAGACTGTGCGAGAGACAAAACAGACTTCACCAGGAGGCACAACTAAAGCTACAAACTAATGTAACCATATTGATTTACATTTCGTGTAATTCTTAATTAAAACAAAAAAGAAATAGGGTTTTGAAAAAAAAAAAAGAAATAGGGAAAAGAGTTAAGTTAACGTAAAAGCGCTAATTTAATTTAGGATTTGAAATGCGCCCGAAAATTAAGGAATGCATTTCAAATTTACCTCCAAACAAAATGTCCTCCCAAACAATAACCAAAAATTCTTCAAATAATTTGAAATACTCGACAAAGAATTAAATCCTTCTATTCTTTTGAAACTAATTTTGTCTTTGAAAAAGAGAAAATATTGTTATAGATTAACTCACTGAAAAGAAAACTTTCGGAACATCGAGTGTCTCTGCCTGCTATCCCAACAAAAGCAGATCAGGTAACAACTATAACGAGGGGGCTATCCCCCAGCAAAGGACTGAATCCGCGAAAATTCTCAACCAATCAACTCCCTTTAATTTGTCCAAAACTGACTAGCTTATCGCTCATTTCGCGTTCTTGAAGACTGAGCTCTGATTGGCTGACAAAATTTTCGCACATTTTGTCCTTCAGGCATGATAAATTCTTTTAGTTTACAGCCAACAAAAACGTGGACACCGTCGTTTCTATTGCTTCAGGCGCAGCAGCTGACGCCCAAGTTCGAAGAACAACTTGAAATTATGTATGTGAACATATCCAAGTTTGTAAAAAACTTGTACTTCAAATTCCTTAAATGAGCTTCCGATAATAAAAAAAATATCTGTCTTTCTTTTAGCAACAAAGAAAAAACCTCGTTCAAAATGGATGTTCTAAACTCAGCTACGAAAGTCATCGTGTGCCAGGCAAAAACTCTCAACTTTACCACAGTTTTTGAATGTGGCAAACATGCTCAACGCCCCTGAATCACCTGTTACATGCATATTTTATGGTAGCTTTATTCTCATGATCATCGAGCGGTTGTTTTCTACAGTAGATGTTAAATATAAGTTTTCAAATTCAAAATTATCCTTCTAGCTTTTATTCGACGCAGAGGCGAAGCGGAGCTTCACATCACTTGCAATATCACAAAAAAAAGCTAGCAGACAGGAAAGGAAAGAAGAGCCACTAAATCTAAAGAAATTTTCGAAAAAACCAATTAAAAACGTCAAACTGTTGACTGAAATGATGTTCTATTTGCGTAACACACGTCCAAAAACACCCTAGACGGCGTTGAATGAAAATTCATATACAACTTTCGATCAAAAAAAATTCTTGTCTTGAAAAACCTGAGATTTTTAACGTTTTGTGCGATCCGGAAGAAAACATACATATTATGTTTCCCTCGAATGACCCAAAATTAGGTTAGTAAGCCGGAATCATTTAGCCCGAAAATTTTTTAAGCAAAAAAAATCTAAGATGTGGCAACTAATCTGACAAAACACAAGCAGACAAATGATCAGCCGACAATTTTTTTTCTGAAACGGAATATCAATGAAACGAAAAACAGGTCCTGGAAAGATTCAAACCAGGCACTTTTGCTGTCCCAGGCGTACACATTACCTCCAGATTAAATGTGCCGGAGACGCTTACAAATTTGAGATCGCTATGAACCAGGAGACCAAAAGATTCTGTTAAACAAGTTGTTAGCCCGAAAAAGTTTACATTTCGATTTGATAACGCTTGCTAGTCACAAGCGTAAATTACTCAAAGCATAGTGCTTGAGGCATCCATTATGAAGATGGAGCACATGATAAGCTATCACGCCAAAGATGGCGATCTTAGTCGAGGGCAGGGGATCCGGAAGAAATACTTTCCTAGGATTTCCTTTCCTTGACTGGATTTTGACTGGAATATGTGATGAAGGGACTCCTGACTGTAACCTCGCTTACTATGATACTTTTGACCTTCTGATTAATAATTACCATCAGTTGATGTTCACCTCCAGGTTTATCGAACTCGGTCCAGAAGGGTATCGAGCGAAAGTTCAAAAAGCAAAAATACTTTTGTTCCGGCAAACAATACTGTTCATTTTATAACCCCGGTTTCAGACAAAGAAACCGGGATTTCGTTAACATCGCTTAGGGGGGAGGATCTTAACTTGGTCCAGAAACTGTCCTTTGATCGGCAAAAGTTTTTATAAAGAGACACTCCGAGCTTTGCGTCATATGCAATACAGATATCAAAATAACACAAGCAAAAGATCGTGAACATCAATTCTAGAGAGTCACTGCATTTCATGGTCTTTGTCCGTTCAGTTTAAGTCCGTTCAGTTGATGTTCACCTCCAGGTTTATCGAACTCGGTCCAGAAGGGTATCGAGCGAAAGTTCAAAAAGCAAAAATACCTTTGTTCCGGCAAACAATACTGTTCATTTTATAACCCCGGTCTCAGAATCAATTGATGAGAGATATTACACCAGTCTCAAACGAAACAATTCCTTTCCATCCATCGATATTTGATCAGATAAACGGTCAACATATCAAGAAGGCAGCCATGGGAACGCACGGACCATCTGGCCTCGATGCAAATGAATGGAGACGTATTCTAACACACTTCGGCCAACAATCAGTTGAAATTTCAAAAACAATTGCTGAAATTGCCAAGAAATTGGCCACAGAAGAACTAAATCCAGAACTAATGGAACCATATAACGCATGCAGAATAATACCCTTAGATAAGAATCCAGGGGTAAGACCCATAGGCATAGGAGAAGTTATGCGTAGGATAATAGGGCGAACAATTTTTAAATGCCTAAAAAACGAACTCATGTCGCTTGGTTCAAACTACCAACTCTGCCTAGGACAAAAATGTGGCATTGAATATGCGATCCACACGCTAAGAGATCAATACAGCAAAACTTCCGCCGATGCTGTTCTACTGATAGATGCCGAAAACGCTTTCAACTCGCTGAACCGAAAGCTGGCATTAAAAAACATCGAAAATACCTGCCCTTCCCTTTTAACAGCGATTAAGAACTCCTACTCCAATCCATCTAAACTATTCGTTAACAAAAAAAACAATCTACTCTCAAGAAGGGACAACCCAGGGGGATCCACTAGCAATGGCCTTGTACGGTCTAGCCATAATACCCCTCATAAAACTTTTATCAGTAGACGATGTAACCGAGAAATGGTACGCAGACGACGGAAACGCAGTCGGTAAAATAAGCAATCGACGAACCGTCCTCGATAAAGTTGTATCACTGGGTAAATTTTTCGGCTACCATGTGAAAGCATCCAAATGCCAACTCATTGTCAAGGATGAAAAACTCGGTGAAGCTCAGAAAATCTTCGCAAATACAGGAATCAATATAAAGGCAGGAGCCCGAGTGCTTGGTTCAGTTATAGGAACAGAATTTGAAAGTAAAAAGTTCCTGGATTTCAACAGAATGAGCAAATCAAAATTTTGAAAAAACTAACGAAAATCGCTAAAACCTCCCCTCAAAACGTTTATGCCTGCTATACTAAAGGAGTTCAAGAAAAACTTTCATTTCTTGCCAGGACAACGCCTAACACTATGGAAAACTTAGAAATATGTGAAAGTATTATCAAAGAACAATTATTACCTAACCTAGTCGGTAAAGACACTTTAAACACCCAATTCCTTGAGATATCTTCCTTACCCCTTAAAATGGGCGGACTTAACATCAAGCTGCCATCCGATCATAAAAACTACCTAGAATGGTCTAAGGAAACATCACTAGTACTGGAATCTCAAGATCCTATTACAGCAGTAACACAGCAATAAAAAATATGTACGAAAATCAAAAAATTGAAAACTGATAGAACAAATCGAAAAAAAAAACAAACCTCATTAAATCCTTAAATGAAACAGATAAATACAAACTCGATCTGGCCTCTGAAAAGGGAGCCTCTAACTGGCTCAATGCTCTACCACTGAGCAGATACACCTTCAACCTGAATAAATCAGAGTTCAGAGATGGTATTTACTTAAGATACGGATGGGAACCAACCAGAACCCCACTCACATGTGCATGTGGTGCTGATTTTAAAATGACAAATGCACTTCACTGTGCAAAGGGTGGTTACACACACATAAGACACAATGAAATTAGAGACACATTCGCCAACCTCATGAACGAGGTTTGCCATGACGTCGAGATTGAGCCGAAACTTCAGCCGTTGCAAGGCGAAAGCTGTGTCAACAATTCAACTACAACTGAAGATGAGGCACGACTTGACATTAAGGCAAATGGACTCTGGGGTTCACGATTCAGCCGCGCTGTCTTTGATGTGAAAATTTTCAACCCCCATGCCAAAACATCGCGAAAACTGCATAAGGATGCATACAAATACCACGAAACGCTGAAGAACTCCAAATATCAGCAAAGAATTTTAAACGTAGAGCAGAGTAGCTTCTGCCCGCTAATTTTTGGATGCACCGGTGGCGCTGCTCCAACAGCCACGCGGACGATGCAGTGATTGGCCGAAAAACTAAGTGAAAAAAGACAAGAAAGCTATCCAGAATCTATAAACTACATAAGAACTAAAATAGGCTTCGAGCTCCTGAGGAGCTCTATACTTTGTATAAGGGGGTGCAGATCGCTACGCAAAGTTCAATTTATCGACAACTCCATAAGCGCTATTGTAGAGGAAGGACGGCTAAGATAAATTAACATTACGACGATGCGTTTAATGCTGATTTATGACTTCATTGCTGATATATATGCATTTTTATATCGCTGGTATGGCCCTATCCAGCTTGTGCACTTACCGTAACTAAACGGAAGGGCCCTTTTGAATAAAATATTTAAGAAGCCGTGAACAGAATGAAAAAAATTGCAATTTAACACGACACTATTCGACTAGAAAATTTTTACACAATCAGAAGCTTTCCATGAGACAATCTATTAACTAATTTATGACATAATTCACAAAATGGATGCAGTCCTCCAACACCTCTTGGATGCAGTCCTCCAACACCTCTTGGATGCAGTCCTCCAACACCTCTGCTCTGTTGATAAGGGCGTTGGTTTTTGCATAATGAGGAAACAAACGTGCTGGAATCCTTGTTGCAATCTGCTCAGTTTGTGAAAAAAGATGCAACCACTGATGAGGTAATACTGAAAAATGAGAAGAAACTTAACAAAGAATTACTAGCCATGAACAAAAGAGACGAGATAAGTGATCAGTTATATTCTAAGATGAGGTCAACAGTGGGGCAACCCGCCCGTTTGTACGGTTTAGCTAAGGTGCACAAGGCTGAGACACCCCTACGACCAGTACTATCACTTCCAGGCAGATCGTATGAGAATCTTAACAAAATGCTTGCTAAGTTTTTTGACAATATCGATTGAGCCAATATAGAAACCAATACTAAAGATGCCAGAGAAACAATTGAAAACATTAATCTAGATTCGGATGAAACCATATCTCTTGAGGTGAAAAGTTCCTACACCAACGTTCCCCTGAAGGAGGCAATTGAAATTGCTTTACAGAAGCTGTACAGCCAGGAGTCTCCTCCTGAAATTCAATGAGCAACCATGAAAAGGCTTTTGAATATGGCGGTCAGCAAAGTATATTTCAAGTGTAATGATTCATGGTATGTACAAGTTGATGGTTTAGCAATGGGCGCGTCCCTCGCTGTAGTTGCGGCAAATTTATGGCTGAAAGAGTTAGAGTTTGCTCTAAGACAAGAAATACCGGTGGGAACGGAGATACAGCAAATTAATGACACAAACAGTTTGTGCCCATGTTCAGCAGGAAAGTCACATATAGATCAAAGGGGGTTGAATGCGAGAGTTGCCGAAACTGGTATCATCTAAAATGCGGAAAAATATCCGATGACGTATAAGCATCAATAACCGAGATAGTCTGGTTCTGTGAAAGCTGCTGCCGCGCTAAGCACAAGGAGAAGGATACTCCCCACTTGAAATTGTTCCTCAGGTATGTGGATGACATTGTTAGAACAGTCAGAGGGGAGCCGAGTTGTCTTCTCGATGCAGCCAATTCTCCTCATCCAAATCTGCAGTTCACTATAGAGGAAACTAATTCGGAGGGGAATTTGCCGTTCCT